TCTATTAAAGATTCCACACTTAAAAGATAGGCATCGACTTATATGCGTTTCTGATTGTCTTTTAATCATTTAAAATCACTAATAACCACTTTAACCTTATCATGCTTCGAATAAGTTGAACTGTACCAAATGAAAAACAGCTGTATGTAATGTTGAACTAAACGATGTTTTCATGGCATTTTTCTATTTGCTGCCGAAGATCAAGCAAAATGAAATGCGATAACTTTTACTTCCTTCCGTCTCATTTAGTGCATTATTCTATCACAGACGCACTTTGGATGGTCAAAAGGTTTATCAGTTGAGTAAATTATTTTATTAACAGAAACTTACTGAAAGAAACAAGAAATAGATGTCCCATGAAAAATAATTCAGACTCCATTTGTTATGAAAGTTTAAAGTCCCATAAGGAGGCCTTTGTGTAGTTTCACTCTGAACGTATTTCAAAAGTTGGCATAGATCACGTCTCTGGATTCACTCTTTTGTACAGGCGAAAGACGAAATTTGATTCACACAGAAAGTTGTTGGAAGTATTTTGCTTAAATAATAGTCCACTTAATCAAGAAAGATACAAAACATATACAATATGTTGATAAATATAAGTCAACAAGAAATAAGTAAATAAGAAATAAGGCAGTTATATCTTCAAATATTGTCGTTAAGCGATTTTGCATTTAAAAGTACATTTTGCTTTGAACTTTGTCGTAATCGTTTGTCATACCTTTGACATACCGGCCTAACTGCCCAATAATAAAACACCTTGAGCATTGTTGCAATAAATAAAGTACCGCCCAAGCAACCATTTACGGGCGAGAAGGACAAGAAATCAGATGTATAGCCAGCCAATGTTATATTTCAAGTTTGGAGGGAGCATATTTTTTAAGTACACATGTATTAACTCCAAATATTTGGCAATCTTAAAACTCGGCATAAAGTTTGTCTCGAACAAATTTTCTGGACCGGATGTTTTTTCTTCGGACTTTTCTGAAACCAACATTGCCTAACCGGTCGGATTTTTGTGTCCCAGTTATCGAAGCCAAATTAATTCAGTTACCTAGTGCGCCCAAAAAACCACCATCTATATATAATGTAAAACCGAATAAACGCCTTCCAGAACACTTGAAGTCCAATATCTAGTCCAAGATTTAATAAGTGTTGGTTCCAATACGTTTGAACACATGGATACTCGGAATTATCACTTGGGGACAATCCCAGAAGCCTATTGTATGTTTTATCGCATTTTTAAGTCGACGGGTTGTCTTTTCCTTTTCATTAATTTAATAGAACAGCAGGATCATCTCTCCATTGTGAAGGACATCGAGTTGTATACAGAGACAGCAATACATGGATATGATATTGATATATTATATCAATATCATACATGGATATTAATATGAAATATTTTGATATGTTATCAATAGAAATATTAAAGGATTCGAATATTTGAATGCACGGACCATAGCAAAATAAAACAACGAGACACAGAGATAGAACGGAAGGAAACTCTTACATGCATCATCTCCGTCTGAATATTCAGAGGCAGAATTATAGGGGGTTGGGGACAGGAAATCCTGACCCCCTTGCGGTATTTGAAAAAAAAAAACAGAAAAAAGAGAATTTTGACAAGCTGCATCATAGGTCCAAATGCCGTACCAAATGCCATTGTTTGCCCTCCAAAACACCAACATTTTTCGGGGCCCATGAGTAGCCAAGGGGGCGTGGAACTGCTTCCCATCTGAGGCCTGTCATTCCTGAAAAAAAAAAACACCCCCTATCAAATAATCCTATACAATATACCTATACAATAATCCTATAAAATACAAGGGGTGGCCCTTGTATAATACATGCTGGACGCCCAAAACTGAAAACACCAAAGTGCTAGTAAGACCAGCCGGCTTTTGTAGACAGTCGAATGTTCTTTATACTTCCATATGCTACGACCTTCATTTAAAGAAAGTGTTCACTCACAGCATATACGGGGTATACAGGTATGTTGAAGCTGCAACATACACTTCACTGCTAAAAGCATACCCACATCATGCACTACCCAGAATGATAGATGAAAATGCAATTTAGTTCAATACGTTTTTTTACATTGTTTACGACGGTTGGTACATTTTGAACAGCGCAGCGCACAGGCTACAAAAACGTCTTTTACTTGACTAAACTGAAAAACGTTATGTTGGCCGAACTTCAAGTCAAAAGATATTCCTCCTTAAGCCTGCTTAGTTGCCCAGTGTTTCAATTAGGCTTACGTTTGTTTGTGGCCTGGAAAGAAGGTACGTTCATTTAACACTACGGTACGATACTCTAAAACCTGAGGTATGGAGTATTTTAGGACTAAGCAGTGGTGAATGCATCTGCCAAAAAGACACTTAAAGTAAATTACAGGGACTGAAAATGGCGATTTAGTGTTTACCAAATATAATTAACGCATTTCCCTAAAACGCCTATAATTTTCTAGTTGGCTGCCGGTGATCAATTGTGTTACAAGCCCATATTTCTTCATTTGCGTAGGATGGTGACATGTAAAACTTTCTTTTTCATTGGCATAAAAATGCAATTGTTACGCAGGTGTGGTGATTTCATGACTTGATGAAACGTGCCCTTAAACATGATAGGCCTACATGGCACAGGTTTTCTAAAAGGAAACGTATTGGTATGGTTTCGTGAAAAAGAACCGTTAATGGAGTGTAATGGATGTAATAGAGAGGATATGTATACATAAAAACAAGAAGAAATAACTATTGTCCTTCGGTGCAGTTTGGAGAATTTTGCAATGACCGCGGGGGAGGGGGGGGCATTGATCACACTTGTCTGTCCCTTTGCTAAAAATATACAGGTAGGCTGAATTCGCCATTTTGGAAAAGGGAGTTGCTTGCATCCTACTTTCGTTGCCTGTGACAACCCGATATGTCCGACAGGCCAGATATGTCGGACACAACTGGCTCTTTTTTGTCGGACATATCAGGCCTGTCGGACACATCTGGCTCTTTTTTGTCGGACATATCAGGCCTGTCGGACACATCTGGCTCTTTTTTGTCAAACACATGGCCTGTTCTCTGGTCGTAGGACATACCTGGCCTGTCGGACATATCGGGTCGTCACAGTCGCCTCCTAAAGTAATATATGTATTCCGTCTTAGAGGCATTAAATTATATCAACTTGAATTTTCCATATTGTAAAGGACATAACCTGTCACCCCTACCATATAGTATAGTCCACACACCCCTATTAATAATAGGCACTGCCACTTACCACTTAGCATGAGTAGTTGATTAGACAGACAGCTTAGGTGCAAGCAGTTGAGTTTATGCAGACATCCAAGAAGATAGAAATTTGTCATACAAAAAGAGGACAAAAAAATTGTAAGTTTCATGTACTTTGTTTTTAACAACTGTCATTGTTACTATCAAATTCATATTGAGTGAAAATTAGTTTTAGGTAAATACATTGTGGTATTTAAAAGTCTCAGTAAAATTTGGGTGTGGACACGTGGATAATTCAAAAGAAGTGTCATTTTTCTTTATTATTTAATGTATTCACTTTATTAATATTTATTTATCTGTTTGTTTCTTTATTTCTATATATAATGTGCTCTAGGTTTTTTGTCAGTTATTTAAGCATTTTTTCTTTTATTTTATTTACAGATTTGAACCATACACACATGAGTATCTTCACACAAGTTTGTGTAAAGAGACAATAAACTAACCGTATGAGTACAAATACAGTCTTCTCTTTTGTATTGAAGTGTCACCCGTCACATTTCAAGTTCAAATAATTTTTTTACTGCGTCACCTGACTGTGTATTCAAGTCAAGTCAACAAAGAAGTCAGCTTATGTCACACTTTTACGTCACACCAGTATGTCGACAAAGAAGACAAAGGAGTCAACCCCAAAACCTGAAAGTGAGTCCAAACACCCTGTGAGAGACAGCAGTGCTGCAGAGCAAATAAATGAACTGGAGAAAGCCATAGCCCGTAGTCATGTTAGCAGCAGGAAAACCAAAGTATCAGTCAGCAGTGAGAGGGCCAGGTTAGCAGCAAGAAGAAAACTATTAGAAGTAGAGGCAGCAGCAATGAAGGCACAGCAGCAGCTAGAAAAGGAGGAGATGGAAATCAAGTTAAAANCCAGAAGAGGTATTTTGAGTATGGTCAGCAGCATATTTGATCCCTTAGGTTTTGCCAGTCCATGTATCTTGCAGGCAAAGAAGATCCTACAAGAGTTAACCAGACAGAAATTACAGTGGGATGAACCAATACCAGACCAGGAGAGAGAGAAGTGGTTGGAATGGCACAGTAACCTAAAAAAGCTCGAAGAAATGAAGATCAATAGATGTGTGAAATTCTCAGTTGACACAGACATAGTTGATCATTCTTTACATTTCTTTTCTGATGCATCAGAAACAGCATATGGAACAGTAGCATATCTTCGCACCGTCTGCAAAGATAGAGTACATTGTTGTTTATTGATGGCCAAATCAAGACTAGCACCAATCAAGAAAGTGACAATACCAAGACTAGAGTTAATGGCAGCGACATTATCAGTGAAATTAAACCACGTGATACTCAAGCACATTGACTTCAGAGTTTCAGAGTCTGTTTTTTGGACAGATAGTGCAACAGTACTGAGATACATAACCAATGAAGGCAATCGGTACAAGACCTTCGTCGCCAATCGAGTGGCAGTAATCAGAGAAGGTTCACAGCCGAACCAGTGGCACTATGTGGATTCCAAAAGCAACCCAGCGGATGACGTTTCAAGGGGACAAACAGCAGACCAACTTCTCCATAACAAGAGATGGAAAGAAGGACCAAGTTTCCTACGGAAAAATGAAGAGCAGTGGCCAAGTTTACCAGGTGACACATTACATGCAGACAACGACATGGCTCTGGAAGTGAAAGTTACCTCACATGTGACTCAGGCTCAGAGATCAGAAGACACGGCTGTTGACAAGATATTTCATAGGCAGTCTTCGTGGTATAGACTAAAAAGAGATGTAGCTTGGTGGTTACGTTTCAAAAACTGGCTAAAAGCTAAAGTACAGGTCAATGCAAGTTGTGACAGTGGATCACTTACTGTTGATGAGTTACAAAGAGCCAGTATTGAAATCATCAAATATGTACAGAGACAAGCATTCAGCGAAGAAATAGCAGCACTCAAGAAATCAGACCCTACCAATGCCAAATTGAGACATAAAAATCTGCATCGTCTCGACCCTCAGCTGTCAGAAGACGGTGTACTTGTAGTAGGAGGAAGATTGAATCAAGCTCCAATACCACATGACGCCAGACATCAAATGATATTACCAAGACATCACATAGCTGATTTGCTGATCCGACAGTTCCACATTGATTCAGGTCACTCAGGTAGAGAATATGTTTTATCAATGACAAGGGAACAATTTTGGATACTAGGAGCAAGAACAGCTATACGCAGAGTAATTAATGATTGCTTCACATGTAGAAAAAGACAATCTCCCTGTAGCACACAGAAGATGGCCGATTTGCCTGCCAGCAGAGTCACACCTGGAAACCCGCCATTCACATATACAGGAGTCGATTATTTTGGACCATTTCACGTTAAACAAGGCAGAAAACTTATGAAGCGATATGGGTGCATTTTCACTTGTTTAACCATCAGGGCTATTCACATTGAGATAGCACATTCACTGGACACCAGTTCATTCATAAATGCATTACAGAGGTTCATCAGTCGACGGGGCATGCCCAAGGAGATCAGTTCAGACAATGGCACAAACTTCACAGGTGCAGATAGGGAGCTGAAAGAAGCAGTACAGGGATGGAACCAAACAAAACTAGGTGAATTTTTCAGACAGAGAGAGATTAAGTGGAACTTTAACCCACCAGCCGCCTCACACATGGGTGGATCATGGGAAAGACAGATCAGGACAATTCGTAAGGTATTAAGTGGAGTCATGAGAGAGCAGACCTTAGATGACGAAGGACTCTCTACACTTATGTGCACAGTGGAAAGCATAGTGAACAGTCGACCACTAACATATGTCTCAGATGATCCCAGAGATCCAGAACCGCTATCACCCAATCATTTGCTCCTTTTACGTTCAGGACCAACACTTCCACCTGGTAGATTTCAGAAGGAAGATATGTACAGTCGTAAAAGATGGCGTCACATACAGTACCTTGCTGATTTGTTTTGGAAACGTTGGGTGAGAGAATATTTGCCATTATTACAAAGCAGACAAAAGTGGATGACTGTAAGACGTGATATACAGATTGGTGATGTTGTTTTAATTGCAGACAATAACACTCCAAGGAACATGTGGCAAATTGCAACAGTCATTAAAACTTTTCCAGGGAGAGATGGACATGTAAGATCTGCAGAAGTACAAACTGTCAACACAACTTTGATTAGGCCCATAACCAAGTTGTGCTTATTGGAAGAGGTCACAGAATGCAGAACTGTGTGATTTATAGACTTTAGAGACTGTTTCATTACTTTTGTTTTATTATGGACTGTTCAGAGACTATGATAACATATGTTAATTGAATTTCAGTTATTATTCATTTTATGTTAAAGTCAGAGACTGTTATAACAATGGATTTCATTCATGGAAAAGGATATTCATGGAGGACATTTAAGAAATGGAAAGAGATCAATGAGGACAATAATTCATGGAGGTTACCATGAAGGACATTTGATTAAGTGACAATAATTAAACAGTGGACTGTATTTAAGATTGACATTTAAGGAGTATGGTTAACTTTAGATGTACCATATAACTGATATGTTTATATTATAAAATGTACTTCATACATAGAATTAAGTTCTGTCCTTTAGAAGTATATTAGGTAAATGTTCAATTTATAATCTCACATTTAAGGGGCCGGTGTAAAGGACATAACCTGTCACCCCTACCATATAGTATAGTCCACACACCCCTATTAATAATAGGCACTGCCACTTACCACTTAGCATGAGTAGTTGATTAGACAGACAGCTTAGGTGCAAGCAGTTGAGTTTATGCAGACATCCAAGAAGATAGAAATTTGTCATACAAAAAGAGGACAAAAAAATTGTAAGTTTCATGTACTTTGCTTTTAACAACTGTCATTGTTACTATCAAATTCATATTGAGTGAAAATTAGTTTTAGGTAAATACATTGTGGTATTTAAAAGTCTCAGTAAAATTTGGGTGTGGACACGTGGATAATTCAAAAGAAGTGTCATTTTTCTTTATTATTTAATGTATTCACTTTATTAATATTTATTTATCTGTTTGTTTCTTTATTTCTATATATAATGTGCTCTAGGTTTTTTGTCAGTTATTTAAGCATTTTTTCTTTTATTTTATTTACAGATTTGAACCATACACACATGAGTATCTTCACACAAGTTTGTGTAAAGAGACAATAAACTAACCGTATGAGTACAAATACAGTCTTCTCTTTTGTATTGAAGTGTCACCCGTCACACATATTTTTATGTTTTATTTATTTTTCGTTATCATTATTATTATTATTATTATTATTATTATTGTGCATCACGCAGACAGCAATGGCAAGCAGAAAAAGCCTCTTAGCTGTGGTGACTGTGCTGTTTTGGACATCACTGGTCGCAAGCCCTCTGCAGAGTTTTATTCATCATATAAATAAAAGACAGCTTGGTGGTAAGTAAATACGTTTTTGATAATGAAGCTTGCCTGATTTTTCTGTGTATGTGTGTGTGGCCCTTGCTGTCAAATTACTCGTCTAGTTTTACTTCACGACGACACCCGCACAAGTTTTGTACTAAAGTAGGCATATTTCATGTGAGTTCTCTCTACCTGTGAACTATACAGTATAGGCCTATCTTAATAACTCAGGTTACGTTAAATAATTGGTATGCATCTTTCTTTTCAATACGGGCATATTTTTATCCAATGTTTTCATTCAGTTTCATCTCCCTATGTGAAAGAGAATGCATCACTTTTCTAAAGTCACTAAGTGCAAGTGAAAACCTTCCGCCATATTGAGTCTCTTTGGCAAAGAAATTCATGCAGGTGTCTTGTGAGATACGAAACGTTGAAATGGTAGTAACTCTGATTTTTAGCTGTTGTTGGAAGAACCTAACATTATAAGTTTTGGTCTCTGGATTTCAAATGAAAAATAAGCCATAAAATTACAGGTGCGTCCCTGCGTTGCGGTTGCGGGGACGACGCTGCCAAACATCGCTGGGAGCCAGTGAGCGACACATGTCCCATGGGTTGTATGACATTTAGGGTCAACGAAGGCTCGGTCAGATCCAGGGAAGGGAGAAACTATCTCATCAGCAGAAATGAGGCTCGGTCCTACTGCGCAGAAATAGGTGGCAGACTGGTCGATAACCTCATCTACAGCCTGCAAGACACGCCCCGTTGCTGGTCGGACCTGGAGCACTGGATCCAAGGTGCAGGTAAGCGGTTTCCTGTGGACATTGCCTTTTAGTATAGGAACTCGTTGGGGCTTTACAGGGACCTTATACGGGGTTTTCTCCACCAAAAGGGAATTTCCCTTGAAAAGAGAGCAATTGCTTTCTACATAAGAATCACTACTCCATCCGACCCTGCGCTTGAATGCGACGTTTAATGTCATAATTACGTAATTAAAATAGTTCTAAATGTTTGTAGTAGGCCTAACGAAAATATCGCTATGCCCTTTGTACGTTTCATAATAAAAATATCGCCACCAAGTACTTTAATTTGAGTTCTAACGTATTTTGTGTCTGAAATGACACATACAGTATGTGCAGCTTAAATTTGCACGATATATGTAGATCTACGAAATGGGACAATTTCAAACCCGAATAGATTCAGGGCAGCAGATTATCATTAATGATTTGACAAAACATAAGTGATATATGTATTTTGTATTTTTGATTTGTATTTTGATACATGTATTTTTTATACCCATCCCAAACTGATGTATAACTATACGTGTATAAGCATGTACATCTTTTATGTTAACGTATTTCACGAGCCTCTTCCACGTACTAGTACGACCATAATGAGAGAGAGAGCAAAAACAACTGCCAATTTAAATGCCTATCTTCCATTTGTAGGATATGTGGATCCTTTTCCTCGATTCACGCAACCCATCACTTTCTGGACAGGAGGGGTTGTAGAACAAGTGTTAAATGGCGGACAAAGAATTCGAGTGAAGTGGAATGGCGGTACAAACTATTTAGAAAAATTATATACATGCCCTACTCATGCACATACTGTTGATTGGACCATTGGTTATAAGACCTACAAAACGATATTTTTTTATGTTTAAAGTAATTTTCTAACCATACTTACAAACACTGAAGTTACCAGTATGCAGAATTCAAATATACATCTATGGCCAGGTCATTTTAGTCCCATACTCCATTGTTTCCAGTTGGAAATAATGAGTACAACATTTGTGACCGTGATGTGTTTCATTTTAATAGAGCTCAAGATACCCCTATACTGTATGAATGTCAAATTTTTTACAAAAACCACTTTTTCAGATTCAAATATTTTCGTATAGAAGAACCTTTTAACAACCATAATAACCTAAAACTTAAAAAATCTCACTGAAATCATTTGCATAGGTAGCTACAGCAACAGAAACAAGATAACCAATTCTTTTTCATAGGTCCCGTCGATGTTTTGGACCTCCCTAAAATAAGTATCGGTACTCCGAAGAAGGGCGATTCTTTAGTGCTTCGCTACAGCGGCAGCAACAGGGCCGTCAGTGCCACTGATCACAGGCTAGCGTTCCAGTTTACCAACAATGGGAACGATCTTCACTTTCCTCTCTGCAGCAGGAATTGTTCTGTTGGTAAGACTATAATCAGAAGGTGCATTTTTATTTATTTGTTTGTGTGATTAATTATTTATTTTTTATTTGTTTATTGTCGGTTTGTATATATCTTTTTCCTTTTTAGCACTATTAAGTGGTTTTTTTGTTTGAGTTTATCATTTAGTCTTGTCCTGTTAACAGTCTTTGCCACGCCTCTTTTCAGACATATGTGACGACCCAACTGACGTGATGTTTATTCTGGATGCTTCTAGCAGCGTTCTTGACGAAAATTTTGAAAAGATGAAGGCCTTCGTGAAAGAAGTCATACATGGCTGGGAAATAGGAACAGTTCGCGCCGGAATGATAACCTATGCATTGCCTGCTTCCACAAAACTGGAATTCGATCTGAAGACGTATCTCAACAAGCAGGATCTGCTCGAGGCTGTGGATGAAGTTTTCTACACAAGCTGTCCCCCGGAAGCGGAAGCGTGCACCGCCACCGGGAATGCTTTAAGGTTAATGAGGCAGACGATGACCCAAAACAGGGCGGGGATTCGAAATGACGCGCCCAAAATCGCAATTATTCTCACCGATGGAAATACTAACATTGGTAATGCTAAATCTTTATTAGCGAAATTTTTGTCTCTGGTAGATGTAATAGCTTAGTTTTCAGCTTGCCTAGTTGTGTGTCTGTGTTTTGTGTTTCAGAATTTCAATATACGTCAACGAAACAAATTATGTTCGAAAAAAAAACGCGTTAAAGCAGATTTTGAATACATCTCATACTTTTTAATTGTTTTAATTCTGGTTTTATTATTTGTCTTTCGTTTGCACTTATATATAGATACCTGCCGCGGTATCAGTTCAGCTCAATTTGATCAGTTTTAAAAATGCATTTTAAGGTCTTAACAGCACGGAAGAAGCCATCAGGGCCAAAGCAGAGGGGATTGCTATTTACGCCGTTGGTATTGGTCCTGATATCGACTACGAAGAATTGGTTCGGATCTCGGCTTTTGAACCAAAGAGAGTTGCTCAGACAACATTCGGCTTGTTGCCGACATTGATTAAGTCTGTTTCAAAGAGGGCTTGCAGGGGTAGGTAAAATGTGCTGTTGATGTTGATATATTTGTAAAGTAAATTCTAATTTTAGAGTAGAGCTACACCTCTCATTTTAACCAAAAAAATTTTGCCCGTGCAAAAAAGTCACACAACTTTCTTTCATAAAGAATGAAAGCATTTTTGAGCGTATTGTGTAGGCCTGCAATGTGCGTCGCTGCATGTAAATATTAAAAGTTTGTCTAATAATCCTTAATCTACGGGACTTAATAACTTTCTATACCCAATCTGTTGACACATATTTCGATTTCGTAAACACAGTGGGTATACTGATTATTCTTTTTTTATAAGAACAATTCCGTACTGAACTATCGGGGTATGGACAAATTTGTTATTAGATTTGGGTGGAACATGCTACTTCAACACCATATATTCTTCAGGTGTATCATTAATTCTGTTCATTTTTATTTTAGATTCAATGTCTTTAAGTGCGGTAGTCTTCCATTCAAAACTTTTCTCACATTTAATTTGCATTTGACATTTCTATGGATATCGTATTTTTGTAATTCTAAAACAATTACACGTTTTGCCTACATAGTAATTGCAATGATACTTACATTTAATCTAATGTGAGAGGAAGCTTCACGCGTGCGGTGAAATCTCAATAGAGCATTACAATCTTGATGTTAATTTTCAAGTTCTTCTTAAAATTCAATACACAGGCAATATGTAGGTTTAATATATCATTTCAGGTGACTGCGTACCTGTCCCGAGCACCACGTGTTCAAGTAAGTCTCCTGGCGTTTCTGTTATTGCCTTAATTGTCAATAATCATGTAATATTCAAAACTTGATGTGAGTTGCGGTCGTATCTAGTTATCTAATACGACCTGAGTAAACGTTTTGGCAACATCATTTAGGAAAATGTTATGGCACATGTAATCTTTATCCCGCATATCAATTGGTCACAAGAGCCGAAACCCCATAAACAACATCAATTTTGCAGATAAATGCCCATATCTAAGGTTTTACAGTTATTTGCTGTTATTAGTGTAATTTGAAATGTGCCTCTCAAACTATGCATATACTTTTGGAAATAGCAATATATCTCTAGTCACAAATGCATTCATGGAGCCAAATGTTCACAAGCACAACAAAGCTTAGTTTTTGCTCAAAATGAAAAAAGAAATAATTCCATATGACTGATATTGTCATTTAATTGATGTGTCATTTCATTTTGAAGAATGTATGCTAAGGTACAACTGCGAGGCCAACAAATACAGCATTCCTCTCCAGTGTCCGGATGACTCAAGTATCAATGTGCTGGGCTTCTGTAACGCCGGGGACCTGACGTGCCTGGATCACAATCAGAGACATAATCCGCTCCTGGTGTTCGCGCGAACCCAGTGTGATGGCAAGAGCGAGTGTAAACTGGACGTGATACAAGACTGTCTCTCACCGTCACCGCCTCCGCCTCTCAGAGTGAATTATATGTGCTGCGAGTGTAAGTATCATTATTATTAAATAGTATTTTATGAAGCAATGTCTTTTTAAAGCTTTTTTCGTAGTAAGGGCGATTGTTTACCGCAGTTTTATCTCGCTAACACTAGTGCAGAAATACAAATAAGTAAATATACTGACAGTCAATGAAAACGCATCATTTATTTATCAAATGATATTTTAAGTTCCTTTGGATTATTAAGAAAATAACAGTTTTCGTGTGAAATATGAACCATTATTCAGTCAAACAAGGTGACTCTCTTATGACCACACTAATTTGTACTTGTTTTTATGGTTGGAATCGATTCTCGGTAAAAAAAGTACAAGAAAGTTTTCTGATGCGTTTACATTGACTGTCAGTATACATGATTTATCAACTGGATTTGTGAACAGAAATTTTTTGCCCAGTAGATATTAAAAATATACTGTATACTTGTAATTTAAAGTTCAAGTGTAATATGAACCTAATTGGCAGCAGCCACACTGACGGATAAATCATAACCTATCGAAATTGCACCGAATGATGGAGAAAATGGATTGTTTTCAGCCACCATTAGTTTGTGTCCATGTCCCTGCTCTCCCAACCCGTGTAATAATGGCGGACAATGTACTCCACTCACGGAGCGGAGTTACAAGTGCGCCTGTCGCCCTGGCTTCACCGGACTGAACTGCGAAACACGTAAGTGAAATCTTACTGTGTGTGTAAGTGTATGTGTGTTACATGTATCTGGCTCTATACTCATTAAACTGAATTTGGCCAATTTTGAGTATTAGGAAGATAAGATAAGCAGCATATGCACCTGCGTGCGAAACAATTGAATGCTTGTTTCTTTGAACGTCGTTACTTTACCTTCTTCAACGAGCATTAAAATCTTAACACCAACTGAAACAATATTGTCAATCTACCGGTATACTGCCCACCGTCATTTCCAGATTTATGTGCAAATACAGTAAGTTTTGAGAACCTTCACTTCAGGCACTTCTTGACTTGCTGCATACGGGATTGCTTGTTTATGCAACTGCTAATATACATGTTAAAATGTGTCATTTGTCTTAAGACAAAATTGCCGTCGTTTTCAGCACTGTTCTGCGCAGATTCTCCCTGTCTCAATGGCGGCACGTGTCAGGCACGTGATGACGGCTGGGGGTACTACTGCGACTGTCCCGTTGGTTACTATGGCTTCAAATGTCAACACGCGCGCACATGCACATGTGCATGCGCGCCAAATCCATGTCAGAATGGCGGCGAATGCAGCGTCGGGGAGAGAGGTGGACCGAGCTGCAAATGTCGGCCTGGGTTCACTGGAGCTCTGTGTCAGACATGTAAGTATGGAAAAAAGAAACTCCGCAGTCAGCACTGATCCGACGTTTTTTTTTACTTTGCTTAATTTTCTACAGTAATGTAGATATGTACATTAACGAACGGAAATTTTGTGAAACGTTTATGTAGTGCATACATTATATTTAGATGGATTCTAGGCTATTTATTTTACTCAGTAATGTTTACACTGAAATATTCATACCGGTTTACTTTTTTTAGTTTGAATATTGTTTTCACTTTTCTGTACACTTCAGTTCTTTATAAAAACTTTCATTATCTCCTGCAATGTGCCGTGATAGTTTTTATAAAACGTTGCAAAATCAAATGTAGATAGATACACCAACCAAAAACATGCCAGTAGTTAACATCTATAATTATACCCCATTTCAGCACTAATCTGCAGGGGCAGTAACCCGTGCCAAAATGGGGGCACCTGTGTCGTGCGTGACGATGGATTTGGCTATTGGTGTGAATGCCCATTTGGTTACCATGGTTACGCTTGTCAACATAAACAAGCCTGTCTGCCCAATCCTTGCGTGAATGGCGGTACCTGCATGTCTCTGTCCACGGGGGGATATACCTGCTCCTGTTACCCGTGGTTCACAGGAGAAAACTGTGAAAAATGTAGGTGCTTTTAGATTTGCTCAGTTTCAGATATCTCATCAGGGGTGTATCCAGTAATTTCAAACAGGGTCTTTTACCGAAAAAGTACATCTTTTTACCTGCTTCGTTGACCCGAGTTGAAAATTGGTATAAGACTAAGATCAAATTTTAATGTGCAGCGTACCTTTTCCGTCGAAAGAGCGTTTTTTTTTAGATTTTAAGGGCTGTGTTGCCATTTTCACATACGAAAATGAACTGTCTGTGTATTGCTAGATTATAAAGTTTTTGTATTATATTGATGTGGATTACACAGTTGACTTTGTTTTTAGCTCAGATCTGCGACCCTAACCCCTGTATAAACGGTGGAACTTGTGTGTCTTCTCACAACGGTCACAATTTCTATTGCGATTGCGAATTTCCCTTCTTCGGGGAAGTATGCCAGTTGAGTAAGTTGATCGGTACTTCGATCTTTTTACGATGACAGATTAAGGAAATGATTTAAGCCATTTAGTAAAAAGTCTGTATATTTTTCTTCAGCTTTTACATGTATCAGGTCAATTTTTATTTTGTTCCCAAAATTTAGTTTAATTCATTGTTTGATGAATATGTAACGATGCATGGCTGCAATGTTGCATTTCGGTCATAACTAATCAGTTGTGGTGAGAGATCTCAAAACAGATCGTTTATTTGTGTCGATGTTTGTTTTAAGTATCCAAATATGATTTGTCATGTACACATTGACACAAAGTTGCCAAAAGCACATGTGTTTCTCTCTCTCTCTCTCTCTCTCTCTCTCTGTGTGTGTGTGTGTGTGTGCGCGCGCGTGCGAGTTCGTGCATGCGTGTGTTTCGGTACTAGGGGATATTTTCAAAGTCACTCAATTCTAAAGAAGTGTCCCTATTATCGTTACAGGTTTCCAGGACTACATAACGACCCTTATGTTAACCAGCCCAATCGTTATTGGAGCCACAGGTCCTCCAGGACCAGCTGGCCCCACTGGTCCCACGGGCCCAAGCGGAAGCGACGGAGAACCAGGACCTAGTGGCCAGACCGGATCAACGGGACGAACAGGGGCCAGAGGTGAAACCGGCCAAGACGGTGACGATGGGCCAGTAGGTCCCACCGGACCAACAGGGGACCGAGGACCCATTGGAGAGACAGGTACACACATTGGACAATAGAAGTGTCACCCCTACTGAACTAATACTTTGGGTAGATAAATGACTGTGAAATGATATGCTCCTGGTATCATTTTATTAACATCAAATTTCACAAAAAGACCAACAATACAATTCCATGGTACAGCGGTTTTATAATCATTAGTCACATTATAAGTAGACCAGGCATTATAACTACTCAAGATCTACCTACTTTGATTCCTCTGATTCAGGAGGTGACACTTCTATTGTCCATTGTGTTGGTTGTAACGGGTTCGATGTTAACACGAGTAAAACGCTGTAGAAAAAGAATAAAGCAAATATAGGCTTACGCACTGAAATGAGACGCATTTAATTGATTTTACGATGACAAACGCCTTTATAATCGTAACAAGAGTACATATGTTGTCTGTATAAGTTACCAAATGATTTAACAACTGAAATCATTCCAACATATGCCTTAAAACTTTACCTTGCAAAAACTTAATATCTCTCTGTATAAAATCAGAGAACTCCTCGACTTACGCTGTACTAAATGTTTTAATGCAGCTATACGATATTTCAGGTCCGGCCGGACCTCAGGGCCTCAGAGGTGATCGTGGCTCAACTGGTGTTTCCGGAGAAACCGGCTCCGCGGGAAGAGACGGCGAACCCGGGCGACCAGGGTCAGCTGGCTCCACCGGGCCACAAGGACCAGCTGGGAGTGCAGGGCCTCAAGGACCCACTGGACCTGCTGGACCCAGAGGCCAGCAGGGTGAAATGGGTGAGAATGTCCGTCTTATTGATCTGAAGCGGTTTTTATTTGATGCTATGTTTATACCTGGTCATCAGCTTCAGGTTGTGACAAGAATGGTAGTCCTCTAGGAGCCGTAGTCCGTTACCCATTTCTTTGATCAAGATTGAAGTGGCATTCGTTCCATGTGCAAACCCCTATACTTCCACTTACCCTAACCCGTACCAATTAAATGGGACCCAGGACTTCCTGTCACACCGGCATAGAGGGTGATCCATCATTTTTGAGTTCAAAAGTGGGTCATCTTAATCCAAGTTACCTACATTAAACAATAGATTGATCCATTATTTTATTATTTTATCAACAGTTGTGAGAATTGTGCTGTCTTAACATAGGTCTGTACTCTCCGGGTGCCTTTCTGGGTTCATATTGCTTTGTTTAAGTCGCGTTGCACTTAACACATTCCGTAGGCCTATACTTGTTTATCTTGAAGTCGATGGATGCAAACCTTTTAATATCATTGTCTTCTTATGTTCTTCTATAGGAGAAACAGGTGCGCCCGGTCCTGCAGGCGCAACAGGAGAAGCAGGTCCTAAAGGTGACAGCGGAGCACCAGGTGAACCAGGACGCACTGGTGCCCCTGGCCCCACTGGAGCTCAAGGTGTCTCTGGCGCATCTGGAAGTCCTGGGAAAGACGGCAACCAGGGGCCTACCGGTCCTGCCGGACCACAAGGTGGGCCACGCTCAGCATGCATATATTATGTATTGTAAAACTTAAAGATATCATTAAGAATACTTCATATTATTTTACAGTCCTCCTTTTATAGTACTTCTGTTCTTCCTACCGAGTAAAAAGTTTTACAGGGTTTAAAATGCAAATAATCGTAGAGTTCTAGATCAACTATCACAGACATTAGGTTTTGTATTTTCACAGTAGTTTCTTCATATGAACAGGTCCGAGAGGCCCTACGGGCACAGCAGGTGCAACAGGTGCTCCAGGTGAACAAGGTGCCCAGGGACGCCCTGGCATGACTGGAGCTCGAGGCGAGACTGGACCTAGGGGCGCTGTAGGTCCACCGGGACCAGCCGGATCAGCCGGACCCAGTGGCAGTACAGGTCCCATCGGGCCAAGAGGGTCAACTGGGTTCAGAGGGGAAGCAGGAGAGAGAGGTCCAAAGGGAGATAGTGGACAACCAGGGCCAACAGGCCAGTCTGGTGTACCAGGCGAACCCGGACGCACAGGAGACGCTGGTCCAGCAGGACCTAGGGGCCAAACTGGCAGTCCTGGAGTCAGTGGAGGAACGGGTGCAGCAGGGCCAGCAGGTGCCCGTGGGCCTACGGGTGATCGTGGACCGACTGGTGCAGGAAGCACTGGACCCACAGGGCCCACGGGACCACAAGGACCTGCTGGCCGCACTGGTGCTGCAGGCGCTAATGGAGAGGACGGTCGTCCTGGACAAACTGGTGCAAAAGGTGCTGATGGTTCACCAGGCTCCCTAGGTCCAAGGGGACCTACCGGTGCACAGGGTCCTGCTGGAGATAGAGGCCTACCCGGTGCCAGAGGGTCAACTGGACCTGCAGGCCCTGAGGGTCCCAGAGGAGCAACGGGCGCACAAGGTAGTTCTGGCGCGACTGGACCACAAGGAACACAAGGTGCGCCAGGAAAGGATGGCAGCCCAGGGCCAACAGGTGCCAGGGGTCAAGCCGGAGCACCAGGAGCTACCGGACCAGCTGGCCCTGCAGGTCCACAAGGTCCCAGTGGTGCACAAGGAAGACCGGGTGCAACCGGCCCTAGTGGACCTGCTGGACAGAGAGGCATGGACGGAGCACCTGGTGCTACTGGTGCCCCAGGTAGCACTGGAGCTAGGGGACAGACCGGTGACCGTGGTGCAGACGGGGAACCTGGTGAAGATGGGGCTCCAGGTGCTACTGGACCAGCAGGTGCCCCTGGTAAACCAGGAGCTACCGGGGAAGCAGGTAGACCTGGTTCCAGAGGTGCTCAGGGTCCTCCTGGACCACAAGGCTCTGCTGGCCCAGCTGGTACACAAGGAGAGACTGGTCCTCCTGGTCCTCCAGGCAGTACCGGCGCTAGGGGTCAGGACGGAAGTGACGGCGCGAAAGGTGATAGCGGTCCACCCGGGCCCACTGGACCCGCGGGAGCGCGAGGCCAAACTGGCACTCCCGGCCTTCCTGGTCAGAGTGGAGAAGATGGAGCTCCCGGTCCCAAAGGGGAAGACGGTGAAGATGGACAACCAGGCCCCCGTGGCCCGCCAGGACCCACGGGGCCCAGTGGGCAACCTGGACCTAGAGGAGAGGCTGGTGAACCTGGAAGTCCTGGACCGACCGGTCCTGCTGGTCAGCAGGGAGCTGATGGTGAAGATGGACCACCAGGCCCTACAGGTCCTGCAGGCCCCAGAGGTGAGACAGGAGAAGCGGGAAGTTCGGGTAGTCCAGGCCCACAAGGGCCTACGGGACCGACAGGGGCATCGGGAGATTCAGGAATGGTTGACAGTTGCTTTCCAACCTTGCATTGCCCAGTACCTTGCTACAGCGGATATACATCACGTAAGCTTTTTTCCTCGATTTAATCTATTACTTTTTGGTCCAGTTAACTGATATTCCAAATTTCAGGGAACTGTATTGTTTTTAGAGTAGAACGCGTTCAAATTTCAACAGGAATAGTATTATTGCGGAAGAAATAAATATATGCATTTGTGTATAATACCATACTTGCATCTTAATCGAATTTTCATGCTCTTAGTGTGTAACGGAAATATGTGGCAGAATCCAACAGCGCTGGTAAGCAGAGCCGTATCTCTCATCGACCAGTGTGGGATATTCCCCCGGAATAACGTCAACTTTCTTTGGCGGTCTTACTGGATGAATCCCTATACCGTCAATCTTCCTGGCAGCGGGGGGTGCGGCCCAGGAGGGTGTCTCGGGGGAGGTTTCCCAACTGGTATTCATTATGGCGGCTACCCTGGCCCAAACTCTGGGCCCGTAGGAGCACCTTCAGGTCTCATGGCTCACTTTCAGCCTCCGGACGGCAGCAACACATCCGTACAGGCGGCGTGGAAAGCAGTCATGAACGTGAACGGAGGGTCCCCAATGACTGTAGACCCTCAGAAACTTGGGGCGGGCGGACTGTGGCAGGTGAGAAAGAATCTACTGATATTACACCAATCAGTAGAAGTCGACGACAGAACGTTATAATAACGTTACCATAATGTTTTTTGGTTTTATAAACGTTATGGTAAAGTTATAATAACGTTATGTGTTTATGGGATAGGAGCGGAGCCGGTGTGATAGGAATGGTACAGTAGTCCTAGGAATGGAAGTGCGGAGTCCCATATATGATTAGTACAGGTTAGGGTTAGTCAGATATTGGGGTTAGTATATGGGACAATAATGGACCACCTGTACAAATTAATGGGGAACGGAGTACGATTCCCAGCAATCTACCATTCCTGTCACACCGGTAGTGGGGCTTGAGCACTTTTTTCAACCAGTTCAGTAATAAGCACGAAGGGCAGAGACCTAAAGGAGGGCTGGGTTCCACTGCTTTGAAACTAAATGTAAACTTCAGTGTATCATTAAAATGTTACATGTACGCCGAAGGCTGCGACTTATTTTCTCAACCAGTTTGCAACATCAGTTACATCATTTTTTGCCATCTCCCCTTCCTCTGTCGCTAATTGTGTTTCTATTTATGATTCCCCCTTGCAGCTTATACTTTTCTTCATACGAGCCTGAAAAATTTTCATTCGTTAGCAGAATTGTGGATGTTCTACCGCATTTAGCAACGCTTGAAATTAAACCCATTTTAGATTAAGGTGGTAAGTGACTCCGTTGCAAGTTAATGTATGGGTATCTCTGGATAGACTTCAGCCCTTCCTTGAGCTGCAAGTGCAAGTGTGTACAAACAAGCCGCCCACTTCTCGGAGCTAGTCTGAAAAAAGTTGAAGTAATAGCGGGTCTGGACCTAGGACCATGCGCTACACTGGAGGATCACGCGATCTTAACAAAAAATTTAAAACTTTAATGTGAATTTCAGATATCATTTCACAAGCAAATTAAATTATTTCATTTGTCCATTAGGCTGTTTACTGACATGATTATTTTGTTGACCACATTCTGTCTTCCAGATCCCAGAGAAAATGTTCAACGCGACCAAAAGGGCCGCTGATCGTCGCGCCATGCAGAACTACTACCAACAGATACAACGGCAGTTCTGCGTGGATTGGACACAGATGCCGTACGGCTGTTTGCGCAACCCCCTTTACTCCGCCATGGCAACACAGATGTACCTCTTGGTACAGCCCAGGCCAGTGCCCTCGGGATGCGCCCAGCAGGCTACGATGTGGTCCAATTTCGTTCAGCAGTCCAATATGCGGCAAGCGTTTGTACAGAACTGTTACTCAGCCCCGAACTATAATCAGTTGAACCAACAGCTTCAGTATTTTCTTGTGTAAGACGTGTATCTTCGGCCCAACCGGGCACTGGATTATAACATATTGACATGAGGTGGCGTTGGTTTAATTGACTTTGATGATAACGGAAATGCAACCCGGTTCCAATTTATGAAAAGCAAGCATTTCTTTATATTTGCTTTAGAATTGGTAATCTGCACTTGAACCAAACTTTCTGGAGTGTGAAAAATGTATTCTTTAATAAAAAGTTGAATTTGCTGGACTTTAAGATTTAAGGTGTGATAGTGCCGAAGTAAAATTGCTGGTTTCTCAACTATCGCAACGGGGACGTAAACCAGTGTTTAAAATCTCTCTCTCTCTCAATCTCTCTCTCTCTCTCTCTCTCTCTCTCTCTCTCAATTATAAACTCTACCACTGCTCCAAGGGATAATTTAATGCCTTGCAAACAATTATCGAACTACTTATGCCAGATATTCTCGTTTGACAAAAGACGTAAAATCAGGGAATTCAATTTTGTTGGACTTAACTATAGATGTATAGAACTGTTGTTAACACCATGAAAAATTCATCTCCTCGCAAGCCATGATCGTTGATTTAAAAAAAAATTGATTATCCCTGGAAAGTCTATTAAAATGTTATTCAGATTAATGACCCCCCCCCCCCTTGATCGTTGTCAGTAAAATAAGTAACTCATAAGGTCAAAGTTTATCTGTATTTCTTACAAAAGTATAGAGAAAAAGAAAGGTTTTGTCTTAAGTTAAAAAATGTAAAAAACGCAAGCTTATATGACAACCATCAAAGGCGGGTTTCATTTAAAACGAAAAAAGTGTGTCCTGGAGAAGTACCAAGATGTAAATTAAAACTTCTTAATTCACCAGCAGCGTGACGCGTGTATGTTTCTTTATGTATTAACCGCCGTAACCCTCCTTGCCATGACAGATTTAAGACACTCCGGAACTAAAGATTATCTACAAAATGCAAATATGCCGGGAGATAACATACTTAGTGGATAGACTTGACAGCGGAAAAGATTTTTTAACCGCAAAGTTATTGTGTAGCTAACTGCGAAGTGAACTTATTCACTCAAAATGCATGCATGTAACTCCATAATTTGACACTGAAAGAGGGTTTGTGAACTTTTATGAAAATTAGGCAAAATTCATTTGATATTAATTTAGCATGTTTGTTCGTTTTTTTATTCTTTATTTATTAATTTTTTTCAAATCGGTTGAGTTATTTCATTTTGGTTTACTTAAATAATAGACCCCCACCCCACGTTTAGGACCAATATGAAGACAGTTAAAGCGCAAGAATTTAATGATTGTGATTGATTATAATATAATATTATCTGCAACGTCTATCTATAATCGTTGTGCCCTCACTGTCGTATTTCTCAACGGAAAACTGTAATTACCACGTCAGACCATACCTGTAAGTGTTCATGCAGTATCTGTTTTTTTCTAATATGCAGTGCGTTACCATTTGCCTTGCCTTCAATCAATAAGGTGATGTCGATAAAAATATCATTAACAATAAAATAATGAATTAGTAAAAACTCCCTGGACAGATGATTCAAACACGTTATAAATGTCAGTCATAACAGTGCCATTTATTTTCACTATTTGTACAAAGCACACCCCCCCCCCCCCCCGTAAATGTAGCATACGCTGGGATATTTGAAGGTTTAGCTATAATGAGATCTACAGTTGTGAATCCTTATAAAATGAAGAATATAAAATATAATATAGTGTATTAATAAAAATGACAGTTTTGTAAAAAAATATTTGTGTTAACCTTATCACACTTAGATGTAACCAGAATTTGTACATGAGTCGAGTCCGTGTATTTCATAAAACTACTGTTATTTACAGAAAATATATATCTATAGTAGAAAATAACAATTTGTTTCACTGAACAAGTAATGAATATAATACGATATGGCTCAAATTACTTCTTTTCTCCACAGAGACCACTATTACTCCGCCATGGCGCAAAGCTGTTAATTTGTGACAGAGGCGTCGGTTGTTTCATCCAGTCAATAACCTGGCTACCGGTGACAAAGAAGACGTCATCCATTTTGTTAATGTATCGAATAAAACGTTTTAGTCCATCAAAAGCTTGGTTATTTTCCAGCCACTTTCCTTGGAAATAAAGCCCGTATGGAGCGCGCTTTCTGTTGTAATATTCCGAGAAAAACTGAGCCAGCAAGACATTGAAAGTATCGTCTGAGGTGGTCACTTTGCAATCGTCCATCATGGCGCACCCTTGACCGTCTGTGCCGTACATTCGATTAATTGGAATTTCCCAAAGTCCTGGGTAAGATGAGTTTGGGCAGTTTGAAGGGTAGATATCACAGAGTGTATTATTTGGCGGGATATCTAATGTGAATGGATAGAAAGGTGGGAAAACTGCGTAATTGTGTGCCGACGTCGGTCCCGTTACCATGGAGGAATCGTAGGTGAAATTATAGTCTCGCAGCATTCTGTACATGTTATTTCCTCCCGGCTGCAAATATGGCACTCGCATGCCAGTTATTTTACCCTCGGGTATATATGTTCCTGTTTCCAAGTTGATTCTCTGTCCGTAGATTTCGTAAACGTAGTCCAAGTAGGAGGCGCTGTTCCACCACAGAGGGGGCTGTCGTCTGCTCTGGCTGTTACTTGCGATCTCGTGGCCCCGCGCGTATAGCTGCCGGACATCGTTGTAATCCGTCCTTTCCTGATCCGGTACGAAAAATGTAGCTGCGATGGGGCATCCGTTGGGATTGATAATGTCGATGGGGAATAATTGTTCGAAGAAGCTGGCAACGTACGCGGTAACGGCGAGATCAAATGAAACTATGACCATCTGAGGCACAGCGCTGGGGTTTAAATTATTTGGCGGGTTAGGACTCGGGCAGCGACAAGCTGGGGGCTGGCAGAAGCGCTCCGTACATGGAGCTAGCGGTCCGGATATCAGGTCGTAGCACGCCACTGGGCTGAGCTCTCGTAGTAACAAACAGGACGCTGTCAAAATAAATAAGATATACCAAGTTCCTGTGTTTTTTCTAGTCATTGTCTGAGATGCTGTTGATGATGATGATGGTGCTGACGATGAGTACGACCGACCTTCTTCAGTCACTCATTCAGTCTAACCCTGTATATATCTTTTCACACACGTGTATACCGTCCTTTAAATGAATCTTTTGAATTTTGGTTGACTTTGCGGTCACTCTCTTCAAGTGGACTTAGTTGACCTCCAACTTTGACAAGTGTTCTCCACTTGCAGCTTGCCTCCAGTCGATTTATGGGAGGTGCTTCATTAATTCATTTACGCTTTCCCTCCTGAAGTGTTTCTTACTTTAAATAAAGTTCACTTCTTGATTTAACCGAGACTTAAGGAACTGGAACCACTATCTATCGTCACACCGAAATTGAAATTGAATCAGCTATCCTTCTTCGTTCCTCTCTCTGCCGTGAATGGTAACATTGCTTTTTGAATTATACCACCGAGGAGACAAGGGTCCGTATCTTAAAGATCTGATCAGATATGACGGGGTGACGAATTTTGGAAAGGTCGTGAAAATCAGGGAACAGATTAAATGTCTGTTTTGTATGGGTAGAACTTACAAACATTAATGTACAAGTTACAATGTAGCTTACTTGATGACAAAAACGCATTTTTTACTGTACATTTATCTCTGTAGAACTGCCCTTTGAATACGTTTTATTCAAGGACCCACTTTGTGTCCCCTTTATGAACTTATGCTAATTTTAACCCTCTGTGCTTTTGCCCGATCGCGCTGATATGGCGTAATTGGTGCACTTGAGTTGATAAAGCTTCCTGTAATTAGCCAAGCAAAACAACTGATATGGTAGGGGAGCATGTCGACGTCTTCAGTTTGCAATTTTTATATTAAATATCTATTTATACCAGGTCTTTGTCCAACCCCATAGTTACTTCATTGTTTGCAATATAATAGATACCCGGACTATGATAAAATATATGAACATAGATAATTATCCTTTATTTGAGGACTGGGCAGTGCTGCTACTTAGAATGCAATAAATATTGTGTTATGAATAAGAGCTGGCACGTGAAGGGTTCTCCACTGCATTATAACCGCCCCTTGTCATGAGCTATTTCTTTTTGATTTTTCTTTCAAATAAAATTTGAATGATTTTGAATTTATCTAGGGACCACAAATTTAACATTCAGTACATTAGCAATAGAGGCTCCTACATATAAACTGATGGGAGAGACGGGGAGGCAATCTTAACAGACCGCCATTGTGAAATACCAGAAAATTAACTTAAAAATGTGTATTGTTTATTTCCTTTTGTAAAACAGTAAGAGTAATGAAAATATAAATTCTTTTCGTAGTAAATAATATTTAGTTATGGTTGAAATTTGTGACTTCAAATGCATACGAGATAGCTCTAATTATAGATAAAATTGTATGAATGATAGCGATAGTGATTAGATAAAATCAAAGAAATTGTTTTTGTTTACACTGAACTCCCCATGAGGCGCTTGTAATTCTTGGTCATATACCGAGTGCATATACATGTATGCGTCAAAAGCTTTTCTTAGCGATAGAATCCAAATATTCAGGTTGTGGTCGGGACTTCAGTCAAAATGCGACAGGTGAGACAAGTAAAACATCAGGCACACCGCAACGCAGATTTTCAGAATAACGTAACATGTACAGCTGAAATTGTAAAGTAGAGAGTGAGTAATCAAGTTTAAAAATCAGTTTTCGATAGTGGGAGACAGTCAGAACTGGCAGTAATTAGACTGAAGTGTTGTTGTCTGAAGATTGTTACAGAGTTTAAACAGTACATCGATAGTACCGCCGTACAAGGTGTACAGAAAGCTGTATCCATCGATAAACAAAATGACACTTTTCGTAAATATTTATGATATACATGCTGGCATTAAAATGACGAGATTTGACCCGATAAGCTAGTATCCGATGTATCAGATTGCATCGTCGAATCCTTCTTTCTGAAATATATTCGCTTTTGTTACCTTCGCTGATACCTTCGCTGAGGGATACCGAATTGAAAGGGGAATCTTATTATTGGGAGTATTCGGGGTATTGTTTATACATAAAAAGGAGTGTTTCCTTTATTACTGGCCTTTTCCATACACGCGGACGCCTATATATTGTTTGCATTTTCATGAAAAATAAGATTCTACTTTACCCTATCGCCGCTAATTGTGCATTTTAAAGTGTTCACGATACAAAAATCCCCCGAAAATCTGCAAAAATCTCCTGTCTGTATTTACAGAACGACTAGACAAAACCAGGAAATATCAAATATTTGCCTTAGCACTATGTAAAATTCTTCGGCAAATATCGGCTAACATTGGAATATGTTAGCGAGCAGATATACGAGGTATATCAAGCCGTTAATACTTGCATCATAGTTCTGTCTTTATTTCGAATTGCAATCAATGCAATCTGAAAACGCGCTCTCTTAAACCTGTTTAAGATTACTGAATAATAAAATTTTGTTCGATACAACAAGTAATATTGTCGAATATTTGTAGCTTGACATATTGAATTCTGAGCGCGATATTGTACATAGAACCTTGTTAAATCATGTAGAGTATATGTTCTAGTCTCCACGCATGTCCAAAGCTACCATGGCCATTGTAAATCATCAATTATTCAATTAACTAATTAACTGGTAACTGTTTGTATCATCGCTCAAAAAATGATACTATTCTCTGTCAATCATTGCAGTTTTTGGCCCATTCCAACACTGTCAAATGGTCCTTTTTTCTATTTTTAATACTTTGAACGATGCTTGAGTGGTTTTGATGCTTTTATTTGTTGTTTTTATTAAACAAATGTAATTCATCAGCGGTCATAATTCCTGTACACGCACTCGGTCTATTTCAATCGATATTTTCCCGGGCACTGTCACTCTGCAGCGGTTGGTCTTTGGACAATACAAATTAAAAATAAGGATTTCTTGACCAAACAACTGGGATGGTGTATTGAAACGGACTTCTCACAAACCAAGGGGGGGGGGGGGGTTCGGGATCGTTCAGCATCTTAAATTAACTGCGGTTAAGATCGCGAAATCGAAAACAAAAATAATAAGGGCGTGTCTTGCGCTTAGATTACATTTACACGGGCGCCGCGCGATGAAATTGTGAGTACGATTTTTTTAATGGTAAGGAGCTACGGGCTACGCCAAGTATGTCTACATTACATGGCCTTAAATCCGCACGATTCTGTGCGATTTCGTACGGCTACCGTCTACCTCCGCTCAGACGCTGTACGAAAAGGTTATTACGGGCAGTATGCGTGCACCGTACGGGCATCGCATTTCATATGTAATCTATGCTTTATCCCTAATAACGTCCTTCCTCTTATACAAAAAACACGTTATTCTATACTTACTTATGGCGTTGGAAGCTTATGTAACTTCATCTCTGGTTTGTTGTTAAAACAAAATTTATATGCACCACAACATATATTAAAGAAAACGTTTTGAATGGATTTTAATAAAAAAAAAAAAAAACTGCAGTGCTTCTTAGAGGGATGGGTGGTATTGATTTAGTTGCCGAAGTAAAACAATATAATTTTTGTGAGGGAGATACGTTCCGATAATACCTGAATATTTTTATCAATATTCCCAGCATCCCGGGAATTCAGTTGAAATGTATTTTCAAGGAGTAAGCTTTCCATGAATCAACTACATTTATTTTTAATCCATCTGGAAAATTCAGCGAACGGGTCAGACGTGTATAGCATAGGTATGTTTGCGATTGTCACAGGAGTTCTGTTTAGTTTGTTGTCGGTTGTCGCAGACCAAACAAGGAAATATTCGAGTAGTTGTCAGGAAGGCCCGTGTTGCCGTCTGGCGCCCCGTGCCCTCTCATATATCTCTGTCAGTCATAGATGGACAGATTTTCAGTCGACTGATCTAAAGTCTTGTTCCTCTGTGTAAACTTTTGTAGTCGTTATAAATAAATAATCCCCCTTCTGATGTGACGGTTGTGTTGAGGCAGCCATTTGGAACATTTTGCTTCATTTCATTCTGTGCTTCTTCATTAATGCGATCATCAAACACCTGGATCTTTCGAACGCCATCCGGGGAGGCTGGGGTGGGGTGCGGGTAGAGACTATTTTAGGGCGTCTATCCACTGAAAAAAACTGCGCAAAAAACATTTCAATATCACACCATAAACAGTGATCCTAGCTAAATTAAAGCACAATAAATAATCCAGGGTTATGTATATATATTAAATGTATAGTGTAGTTGGAGCCGGGACTTGGGTTTCTCTAGAACTTTCTGGAGGCCTATTTGTCCCATTGTCTGCCATACACTGAATACACAGTGTATGAATAATAGGCTCGAGAACTCAACAACCGAACTCCTTTCCTAAATGACTGTCATCTGTCATCGATGCCATCTAATTAAGGGACAAATAGTGCTATGAAAAGATTAATAAACAATCTCATATAGTTTCGAGGAGGATGCCTAAATGTATTATCTGAGTTGCAAACGGCTTCATTAGAATATTAGTTTATTCCAACAACGGAGAACGAATGCACAATTGAAAGCTCACAGTCAATAGCACATTGTACTTGATATTAAACGCATGGCCATTGTTCGTTGTCGAGTGTTTTATTTTCTGGGGGAACAAATATATATCAAAGGAAGGCTCCAAACTGAATAATCTTTATCGTAATATCGACAATGAACGGATGGGGCGTGTAAAATTACTTGATCTTGATTGTGCTGTTCACGCTTTTAATGACATCGGCAACTCAATGCACGCAATAGGTGCATCCTTTGCCCATTGTTTTTAACAAGGCACCTGAGACTTTGCACTCTCTCGTTTAGTGTAACAGGTGCAGTGTTCAATTTCCCGTTTTTAAATCTTACCATATGATCTAAATGCAACTACACAATTGAAGTAAAGTGGGCGAGGAGGGGGGGGGGGGCAGGGACGATGAGTTTGTAATTAGACAAAGCGAGTCTTGAAAATATCTCAATTTTCCATTTAAAAAACTCATCTTAAATAAACGTGTACTATGGTCAGCGTTGGGTTATTTGTAATACAGACAGGAACTATAGAAGTGAAGATAGGCCAGGGGTAAACAATATTTACAATGATATTTTTTTCTTTTACAAATGGTACATTTTTTAAGATATGCTAGTGCCCATTGTCTATAGCCTATCTAATTGATGGGTCCTGAGGTCAGTGCTACATGAATTACAGCATGGAGTAAAGAGACACTAAAACTTTATAAAAGTAACAGGTTTTGCCGATCAAATAAGCTTTATGTACTAGCGCACTGTGTTGCGAAAAGTGCGAAAATAGGGTTTTGTGACGTACGTGTATACACGAATCAGTAATGTATGTGTGTGTTGAAGCAAGGAGTTATAACTCCTTGGTTGAAGTATGTTAATGTCAAACCTTGAGCAGATACGCCTCCGTATAAGGGGTCACCAGTTCTAGATGAGAAACAAATCAGTAATTTGGTTAATGGACTGGGTCGTACATGGATTGTTAGCATCCGTTATGCACAGTATGTAATTTACACATCATGCCAGGACGCGGAAGCGCGACGCGTGCAGTGTTGAGTGACCCACCAATTACTCAAACCTGCCTTGGACGCGAGA